TTCTGGGTCCTATCCACTTCCACCGCTTCTTCCTGACTTCCTCCTCCACTGGAATCTGGTTTGTTTTCTCCCACAGTACGTTGTTGCTGATCGTGTCTGGCCAACAAATTCTCTGAATTGTACTTCTCATATATCAAACCCACTCTTTGTGTGCTTTTTAATTCTAACCTTTTGAATTCCTCATCATCACCTCTATCTTTCTTCTTCTAAATTTATCTTACTGAATTATACTTCTCCAATCATATCTTCGCTCCCTAATCTTCTCCATTGTTGCTAATAATCCTACTATCGCTATCACTCTTGGATTTGAACTGACAGTTACGTCTCTCTGTGCTGCGGTGGTATAGCAACCTGAACTGCTGTACTTAAGTACGAAGTTCTGTGTTGTATCTGTCTGTCTATCTATCTATCTATCTATCTATCGCATATATCGATTTTTGTTATAGTTAACATTCTTTATTTGTATGTGATGTAATAATTAAGGCGTATTATAGCTAGTAGTTATCAATATCTTTCAATAAGTTGAACAAATTCAATATTGAAAAATAAAACTAATAAGAATAATTTGAAAAAAAACTATCAGACATTCACTATTTTTTATACCCGCTTAATTTTCATCAACAATATCCTAGTGATGCGAAGGGAATGCGTGTAGGACTTGCCTGTCATTGGCCAAATACGTGGAATTCTCAAGGTCAAACAAAGGTAAAAAGGAAGGCCCAGAACGGAGTAGTAGGTTGTAGGATGCTGTTCGATGGTCTGTGCACCCCAACCTGGGGGTAAATAGGTAAGCAAGTGTAAATAACGCATCATATATAGCCTTCTCTAATAATTGTATATTACAACATTACATCCTTTATTCTATAAACAAACTGTCACTGATAGCTCCAGTGCATCACCATTGGTTACTACTATATGGAACAGCTACTTAAAATGACTGTGACTAGAGTAGTAAAAATACATGCGTACATATTCTTTGTTAAAAGTATGAATAAGTAATCGATCACACAAAATAAATTATATATGAAACTAACTTGTTTGCATATTACGATGTCCAGAGTATTTGTGTAAATATGGTTTATTCGGTTGATTAATATCAAACAGATAAATATTTTCATCATTATATGACAAGAGAAGAGCTAGTTTTGAGCAGGGAGATTTTGTGTGTGGAGGAAGAGAGAAAGGCAGAGAGAGAGAAGAGGAACACACAAATCAATGAAGAAGTTATCAATACAAACATATATATATATCCAATCTAACAGTAATAAAATTAACGAGAAGAAAATTTAAATCTCAATATAAACAGTATTCGCTTATTTTACAGTGTCGTTAACATCGAACGCTTCAATTATCTTTCTTGGGAGTCCTCATCATCAGTGCTGACGACCTGATGTCTAAACGAAATCACAAAATTGATTTGGAAGGCTCGAATGGCTTTTGCCGACGACTTACATTACTTATAGAGTACGCAAGTTATTCATCTGCTAACCAAAGAAAGAGTTAACTGCGCGCAGCAGTTCATTACGCGTTCCAATATATATGTGTGTGTGAAACACGGTTACTAAGAATGAAGGAGGTCATTAGCATTGGATCATAGTTGTTCATCCAAACAATGCTCGTATATACTAGGACAAACGAGTAAGGGTGAGGATGACAAATTAATTCGACGAAGTCAGTCAGTCAGATGCAACGTAGAACGTCGTATGTCAGTTCATCAGTTCATGTCGCCATGCCACATCAGCACACAGATGTAATTGTCAATTCAAATCCAATAGTAGAAGAGGTAGTAAAGGTATTAGAAGTAATCAGAGAGGTACGATTAGAAGATATTATTCAAGAAGTATGATTCAATGAGATAAGTTTAGAAAGTCAAAACTAGAGGTGTTGAAGAATCCAGAAGATTAGGATTTGAGAGAACACAAAGAATAAATGCACCGGCGCCTTTGCAAACGGTTTTGAGCCATGTCATTCAAGGTCTCTAACCATCGATTATTATCATCTCGCGGACCCCAACCAGGTAGTCGACAATTACCGACATGGCTAAGTCAACTCGTCAATGACTTCATGGATTCGTGCCATGTTTTGGTCTGGCCGCCCCTAACTTTCTTCTGACCTATTCCTACACTACAAAACAAAGCTCGTCGAGGCAGTCGGTGGTTAGGCATACTCAGCACATGTCCCACCACCTCAACTGATGAAGTTTCATTACTTCATCTATTGATCTGCCATTCTTACCTAGCACCTGTTTCCTAATAACAGCGTTGCTCACTCGGGTGTTCCATGATATACGAGCAATGCTTCGAATTTTTATCAGTTTAGGTGGTTGGGACATGTGTTACCTATGTCCAATCACTGGCTACCTTGATGTTCGACACTGTCTGAAGTAGGAGTAGACTTGAAGAATGCTAGTAGCGGTTAAACAAAACATGGCACAAATCCACGAAGTCATAGACAACTGGAATGAACCATGTTATTAGGTGTAGACTGCCTGATCGGGTTCCAAAAGACAATGATACCGATGGTTGGAGACTTTGAATGACATGGGTCGAAATCGTTTGCAATGTTGCAGACGCATCTATTGTTCGCCCTCATTCAAATTCTAAACTTCGTACGTCTCTTCTTTTTGAATTTTTTTTCACTGAATTATGTTTTCTCAAATCATATTTTTGACCCCTAATCATTTCAATTACCACTAATACTGCCACTCACTACATATACTATTGTAGGATGGGACCTGGGAAATTCGTCTATGTGTGGTAATGTGGTAGGGCAACTTGAAGTGATCTACGTAGGTACCAAGTTCCATGTTGCAGTGTTGCGCGCGAACTCTTAACCTGTCACTCACTGAACGTGCATCCAATGGTTCTGGCATGTTCGCGCATGTGAGGTTGTGTCTGCGCACAGCTGATGAATCCCATACTAGGATGAAACGGTTGTTCAGTGCTTCGATCGTGGCTTTAAATTGATCGGTTCATGATTGATACGAAAATTTGTAACAATGTCGAACATTCATTACATGTTCACTATATTTTTGGTTAAACTCATCAGTAGCTGACAATCTTACAACAAGCATCACACATCACGAATATAGTAAGATGTGATCACAGAATGAATTAAACGGTTAAAAAAACTTAGACAGTCTTCACCATATCTGTTATTCAAATAAAAGTGTCCTCCCAAATCCTAACCTTCTGAATTCCTCATCACATTTATCGTTTTTTTTAAGTTTATTTCACTCGATTCTACTCCTTGAATAATATCTTCGAACCCTAATCTCTTCGATTACTGCTAATACTTTCACTACCCCTACTACTATGGGATTTGAAGTGACAATTGCCATCTCTGTAGTAATGTGGTATGGAAACTTGAACTGATACACGTACGTACGAAGTTCTATGTTGTTGTTGTTGTTGACTGACTAAATAAAGAAATCCACTGACATATACGGATTTTCATTACAAATGCCTTAAAACTAATGAGCTTTATTTAAATGAAACTACACAATCTTACTTCCTAAAACCCCAACCATACAGATTCAAAACAGAAAATTGTAGTTTTTCGTCAAATAGAGTAAATGAAAATTCAGAATAACACACAACACTTACAATCACCCTGAGCACTATATACAGCAGCTGTGACACTGTACTTTGTCACTTCAAAATTATATGAAGGATCAGTTGAAAGAATATCTTCATCATTGTTACCCATTAATAGAGCTGCACGAGCACGACCTCGTAAACCATTCAGTACAGCACGAATTCGACGACCAAGTTGTACAGATAAAGAATTTAATAAATGATTAGAATCTGCTGAATCCGAGTCGGAATCAGAAGTGAGCGAAGCTTGTAAACGATTTCGACATGAATTGATTAATCGACGATTTGCTTGAACTACCACTCCATTCTCATCTCTACGACGTCGATCTCCACGTAAATGATCTGCGCCGATTGTATGCAAAAGTCCACTATTCGGATCTCGTTTATCAATTTTACGCCGATCATATATTCTGTTTGATAATATGAAAATAAATATTTGTCAAAATCTAATCTACAAGAAATATGCTATGATAATTACCGTACTTAAAAAATGTGTATTGTTAATAACTTGAGAATAGTTAATTTGGAGAAAAAGCTTTAAAAATCAATTAACACCAAAATCAGGATTTTCAATACAAGATAGTTCTATTGTATGGAGCGGAAACTTGGAGAACTACCAAAGCCATCATTCAGAAGATACAAGTGTTTATTAACAGTTGTCTACACAAATTACTTCGTATTCGTTGGTCAAACACCATCAGCAACAACGTACTGTGGGAGAGAACAAACCAGATTCCAGTGGACGAAGAAATCAGGAAGAAGCGGTGGAAGTAAATAGGACACACACTACGAAAAGTATCTAACTGCGTCACAAGACAAGCCTTCACTTGGAACCTCCAAGGTCAAAAGAAAAGAGAAAGGCCAAGGAACACGTTACACCGAGAAATAGAGAAAAACATGAGAAGAATGAGAAGCAATTGGACAGAATTGAAAGGGGGAGCCCAGGACAGAGTCGGTTGGAGAAAACTAGTGGGCGGCCTATGCTCCATTGGGGGTAACAGGCGAAAGTCAGTAAGTAAGTAAGTTGGTTCGAATATACAGAGTCCAACCGTATCGGGCATGATGCAGTTACCTACTGAAAACAATGGATGAGGTTGCACAATGTTAGAGATTCATTCATGTTAGACATCAACAACGATGGATGACAGCTCAGTGGTCAATAGGTTAAGTGACCACGCGCGAAACCGAAGGTCCTCGGTTCCCGCGTGCGTATTCATGGATGTGCAGTGCTTCCAGGAATCTAATGGCACTCTAACATTGATCAATTCATGATTCAATGAAACTCAACAATATTCACAACTCTATAATGACATTACAGAACAATACCTGAAGAACATAAATCCGTTCTTCATTTCGAAACCATAAGGACATCAGAATAATAAAGAGATTTAGGCCGAATGTCAACTTTATGATATCTATCACAGTAAAGTGATCATACGACTTAAGAATGTCATGTTTTGGTTCAGCTGCTCCTAGCTTTCTTCCAGCCTACGCCTATATCAGACAGCATTGATCGTCGAGATAGTCAGTGGTTAGACATACATAACCACTTTAGGTGATGACGATTCACTACTTCATCAGTTAATTTGCCTTCCTCAACCAGTTCCCTATTCTTAACAAAAGCACTGCTTACTCTGCGGTTATAGAGTAGATAAGCATTGCTTCGAAACTGAGTCCTTTTAACGAGCAGTGATTATCTGATTGCAGTCCTCGCGATAACGTTAATCGCTTTACGATGTCTTATTGACACCATCTCAGAATAGTGGATTACAGGGAAAGAGATGCTCAGTTCCAAGTATTCCTTCATGCATACTTTCTATTTGAAATATGAGTTCTAAGTAGTATGCAGCGGAATGTTGCCCAAAAGTCACTACCGGAGAGAAGTGTCTGTTGTAGCCAAATGTATGACGCGATCAAAGTAGTTTGAAGACCAGAATACATGTGAAAGATTTTGCAAATGAAAGTTTGAAGATATAAGGTGTACACATTTTACTACTGAACCGTGTTAACTCTTAAATCCTTTTTCAGCATGGTCCTGGCGTCTAGGAGCGGCCAAACCAAAACATGGTATATATCCATGAAGTCACTAACAAGTGAACTGAGTTATGTTTATAGATGCAAACTACGTGTTTGAGGTCCACCAGACGAAAGTCACCGATGGTTACAAGCGTTCAACGACATGGCATATTTAGATATGTCAGATTGTAACACCATTCTAATTGCTGTAAACGTTTTATCAATAATACGTTTAGTGTTAGGAAAAAGCAAAATTCTCCGATGCAACACAACATGCACCAACCAAATCACGCTTGATGGAGATGCCCTGGAGGACGGTAACAACTTTACATATCTGGGCAGCATCATCGACGAGAAAGGTGGTTCGGACGCAGATGTGAGGGCGCGGATTGGCAAAGCGAGGGCTGCATTTCTACAGTTGAAAAATATCTGCAACTCCAAACAACTTTCAAACAAAACCAAAATCACGATTTTCAATACAAGATAGTTCTATTGTATGGAGCGGAAACTTGGAGAACTACCAAAGCCATCATTCAGAAGATACAAGTGTTTATTAACAGCTGTCTACGTAAAATACTTCGTATTCGTTGGCCAGACACCATCAGCAACAACGAACTGTGGGAGAGAACAAGTCAGATTCCAGTGGAGGAGGAAATCAGGAAGAAGCGGTGGAAGTGGATAGGACAAGAATTGCGGAAGGCACCTAACTGCGTCACGAGACAAGCCCTCACATGGAACCCTCAAGGCAAAAGGAAAAGAGGAAGGCCAAGGAATACATTACGCCGAGAAATAGAGAAAGATATGAGAGGAATGAACAAACATTGGACAGAACTGAAGAAGGAAGCCCAGGACAGAGTTGGTTGGAGAAAACTGGTGGGCGGCCTACGCTCCATTGGGGGTAACAGGCGAAAGTAAGTAAGTAAGTAAGTTATTGATAAACACCATTTTTTAATAGGTCAACTATACTTCAATAGCAACTGGACACACGATTGATGTACAGGAACTAATTATAAATAATCTGTACACATACATAGTCGTCATTGTCCGACAGCTCTTTTGGAGTACCGTTTGAAGTTCAGAGAGCATTAAACATGTAATTCATTAGGAATTTTACAACACCACTTTCACATCGATCATTTAGAAACGTTTACTTAACCTTTTTGAAATCATGAATCGATCAATGTTAGACCACCACTAGAAACTTGGAAGTACTGGACAGCAATTCTGTCCTGGTATGGGACTCATTGGCAATGCGCACCATCGATTCCTGCAACTCACAGGATTTGAACCCAGCAGCCTCGGTCTCGCGATCGAACGCCTAACCTGAGCCGGTATCTAATGGTGTTGATGTTAGGCGCTCGCGCGCAAGACCGAATGTCTCCGGTTCGAATCCTACAAGAAACAGGAGTTGGCGACGAAACAGCCATCCAGTGATTCCAGGTTTCTACTGGTGATCTAGCATTGATCGATTGATGATTTCAGAAATTAACTCAACAATCGCCACAACCCTCTCATGCAAGTTTATCTAACTGAGATGAAGTTGTTAGGATATTCATCCAATATCCTAAGAGAATTATTGGTCAAATCCTATTGGTCGAAATTATGGTCGTTATAACTGTCAAAGTCAAATACTTCAATGTTGTTTCTCATTGGTTGTCCTGACTGTCAATGTCATTTCAAATGTTACTTCCTATTGGTCGTCTTAACTGTCAATGCCACAGAATTCGATGCTGTTTCCTATTCGACCAAAATGTATAAAAACGCATTATCTGTAACGTTTATTGACCACGACCAGGGCTCGGTCCCGGATCCCTAGTCCGGGATCCTAATTCTCTTCTGGATTCGGACCTCGTGCTTTCTGGATGCTTGTAGAATACACGTTCTACTTCATATCATGTCTTCTTATTTTCACTGAATATGGGGGTTGTAATAATCGGATTTGAGTAACATGTCGTGTCACCGGATCCTCGCTCTCGTTTCCGACTAGGTAAACTCATAATAGTTCAAGTACATCAAGTTGACGTGTTTACGTGCAGGCGTAACAGAAGTAAAATTACGTATTATCTTATAACGGCTATATTATAATATTATGATGGATAACACAAGAAATGAATCAAAAACTCCACACACACGCACACAGACACACACACACAAAATATAACAAAACAACTTACCGTACAATCGATTCCGATCTACCACACAATGCAAATTCATATGGACGTGTTGGATTAGATGCAATGGAGAAAAATTCCGAGAATGGTAACCATAATAATCTACATATATATATACATAGATATTTATAGAAAGGAAAAGAGAAAAAAAAAGTGTATTTTACCAATTTTGAAATAAAGTACAATCAATAGATACGAGAATGAATATAATATATACATTCAATATATTGCGCTTTGTTTTCTCTCTATCTCTCTCTCTCACTCATGACATTTTAAAAAGGGAATTCAAATAAGCGGTAAATTTTTGTTTAGCTGAAGAACAAGATGAAAGAGAAAAACGCTATTGTAATGAAATGATCGCTAACTGGTGGTAAAGTAGATTGGTTTTTCGACTAATCACTTGTAAGTAAGTTCAAGCAACATGAACATTTGATTTTGGCGCGTTTAAGCAACTCAAGTTGTAATTATCAGCCATCTATCTATACTAAATTCCATAGTGTAATTCAAAGTAAGGTTGTAGTGAAGGAGAACACAGGTGAGGGCAACCGAATTGTATTTAACGAAAATTACAGAGTTACTCAGTAAAATAGGAAAACCATATCGTACATCGTTAATTTGCAAATCTTCAATCCATTGTCTGACATTTCACTATTTATGCGTTTCATACAAATTCCATTGTGTTCCCACTCTTCTTGCTTTCTTGATCTTCCCCCCGCCATCTTCTCTTCTGCCAGACATTACGTTTACACTCACGTCATATACTACTTATAAGTAGAGCGCACCACAAGGTAAATACAATTTAACTTGTAAATTAAGACTTTTCTGATCATAATTCCATTTTTAAGTGTTTAAATATCTAACATATAATTATTGGCATATAGTAGAATGTAAATATTCATGGTTATGCTCATCAGTTGGTATGCTCGAAACTAATACGAGTTCACCTTAGTCGGTAAATGAGAGCGAAGACAAATGATCCAGTGACACAATAGGCTACTCTAATCCGAGCGTCCCAATGCCCCACGAAGTAGAGGAAGAACTATTTACAAGATGTAGAAAGTGTACTCTACAAGCACTCAGAAAATATGAGGTTAACAAGCACACAAATCGAGTTTGTTGATACATGATAGAAACATCCTTGAGAGAGCCACAAAAATAGCGTACTAAAATAATACATCAACCACAAACAACCAAAGATTTTACGGGTGGGAAATGTAATAGCAATATCAATTGATCAGCCCATGTTCAAAAATATAAAATCCAAAATTAGGACAATAATCAAGTGAGTTCTGGAGACCTAAAGTCCCCAACATTTATATGCCATACATACTATACAAATTGACGTAGATAGTTCTTTTAAAGGACCTATCTCGGAACATTTAATGTCACAGGTCTAATCCACAAGGCATTGGAGTAAACTACCTGGTTGGAATCTGCAAGATAATAGTAACCGATGGTTAGAGACCTTAGACGACATGGCTCAGAATCGTTTGCAATGGCGCAGGTGCATCCATTCTTCGCGTTCTCTCAAATTCTATCTCTTTCTCTTTCTAAAGCCATCTCACTGAATTACACTTCCTGAATAATATATTCGAACCCCTAATACTTCTACTATTTCTACTACTGTAGGATTTCAAATTGACAATTGCGTCTCTATGGCTAATGTGGTATGGTAACTTGAACTGATGTACGTACGTACGAAGTTCTACGTTGTAGCTGATTGAATTTTTGTCCTCTTAATTTTGTAAACAACACCAAAGTGATGAAAAAGCACTAGATAGGACTTCTCAACCAGTGTTTGTAGTAATGGGAAAGCATTTTTTAAGAGGGAAAGAGGACTCATTCAACTTTTGGTCATACCAGGGGCGTTAGACGATGTACACTTAACCACTTTATCATGATCAAAACTTGGATTATAACAAAAAAGAAAATTTTTTTTATGATAAATATTTAATTTTTCTATTAAAAAAAATATATTACTTGCGAGCTTTGGGAAATCTTAAATCTATTGAAAATACTTGTCCATCGGCACCAGCTGACAGAACAAGATTTGGTTCACCATTTGGAATTGATAATTTATGACATGCTCTATTATGTTTGACTAATAGACGTGTAGGGCAAGCTAAACCACCAGTAGGAGAAAGTTGTGCTAATCTCACTTCGGAATCACATGCACATGAAACAATTTGTAAATCATTTGATTCAGGGATAAATTTCACCTGTATTGTAATGCGGACAAACGCACACACACACACACACATAAATGAAAAAAAAATAATAAAATTTAGTAAATTATAATTATAATGAATAATTATTTAGATAGTAAAAGGAAAATTATTCGCTCAAATGAATGAATATTGGTTTATTCATGAAGCCTTCATTGTGAATTGCATTGGACTCCAGAACGAGCGTTTCATCCCATGTGGAACTCGTCAGTTGTAGTCGATGTTTACTCAAATAATTATAAAAATTAATTATTGAGATGATGGAGATTACTGGGTCGAAAGAACATAATTTAGTAGAGTTACATTGTTTGAGCTGAGTGATTTAGCCGTGAAACCTTGATTGTTGTGTTAACACAATGAGCGAGCGAAAATAATAAGAAAAACTAACTGAACTGCGAAAAATATCATATTTTTATTACAGAGTGATGAAGATTATTACTTAACACTGAAATCATGAATCAATCATTGTAAGACTACCAATAGAAACCTGAAAGTACCGGACGGCAATTTTGTCCTAGTATGGAATTCTTCAGCAGTGTGTATCCACGACCTAGCGAACTGCCGAAAACAATAGATGAGGTTGCGCTAAACCTTAGATTGATCAAAATTAGACATTGGGTGCCGGCTCAGTGGTCCAAAGGTTAAACATTTGCAAGCAGGATCGGAGGTCCTGGATCCAATCCTGAGGTGTGGGGGTCGTGGATGCTCGTAGCTGAAGAGTCCCATACGAGGACAAAACGGTCTTCCAATGCTTCTAGGTTTTAAATGGTGGTCTAACAATGATTGATTCATGATTTTAATGATAGATATCATATTTATTGTCGGCCTGCTTGAATGTTTAGGCTATCTATTCTCTAACATCAAAATATTTCAACAAGTTACCTTTTTCTAATTGTTTTAACATATATCCACTAATCGTATAATCTATTTAGGCGCGTATTTGGAAAGTTTGCGGTCTATCGCTTCACAAGGTACAAAAAAGTACAAGCCAAGACAATGAGGTGGTTGACAATACCTATTGAAAAGCGAACTTGTTGAAATATTCACTGCTAAGAGTCCCGTATTATATTAAACATGTTTTCACTCATATCAATGCATGATGCAAACAATCGGGTATATACGTTCAATTGAAAAATATGTTGAAACCTTGAACACAAAGAAGCTTGACAAATATCAATGAAGCAATTAATGAACACATTGAAATAAATCTGATGTAACAAACAGATTGGTTCGAAAAAGTATCAAAAACAATTAATTATCAAGCCAAGAATTAGATTATTCCAGGATGTAATCCAAACACAAAGGGCAAACAATGACAGGACAAGTGTTCACAACAACTACAACAACCAAACAAATTCAAGGTTGAATAAAACAATCTGTTTATATTAAATGGAGGTAAATTCTCATAGATATCATTTCTAACTGAAATTTGTCTTTGAAACTATTACGAGTTCACCTTACGGAACGAAGATCAATGATTCAGTGACACGATAGGTTATTCTAATCCGATCGTCCCAGGCTAAGCTAACAAGAGGAAGAAGTCTTGACAAGGCATAGAGAGAATGTATTCCACAGGCAACCAGAAAGTACGAGGTCAACAAGGACACAAATCAAGCTTAATTTGTACAATGATAGAAACGCCCTTGGTAAGTGCTACAAAATAGCATACTAAAATAATCCGTCGATCAGTCATAGTAAAGGATTTACCGACTGAGAAATGTAAGCTGAAGGTCAAATTGAGCGTCAAAATACGATTACAAAATTAGGACCTTTTCCAAGTCCCCAACAGAAAGTATCACGACCTTCATGTTATTTGCAGAGGTAGACAGTGGCCAGCAGTGGAAACTAGGGTGAGCGTTCCGTCCTATTTCAGACTAATCTTTGGCTGGATATACCTATATCTCAGAGTCAGTGTTTACTTCAGGACTCGAACCTAGTACCGTCCGTTTCAAAAAAGGCAATATCGAGACAATTCGCATAAGATAAACATATACCAAAGAGATTGATTAGTTGTAGTCCTAAACATCAATGGCAAGATTCAAACAACCAATACAAACGAAGTTATTTACTAAAATGATTCGAAATGTATCAAAGATTGTGGTCGTGTTTCGTTCTCTATGAGCTGGATGTTTAGGTAGTGAAGCTTTCATTGTTCAATTCTGAACAACATCATCAGCAGTACAAACTTCAGATAGAAGAAGTGAAGTATTCGAATTTCTCCATGTTTGACACGTAGCTTGATTAGTTTCTGTTGACCTCAAATCTGTCGTTGTTTGTATCTTTGTGTCTAGATCCACTCACTACCTCATATATCAAAGAATTTAGATATTTTGTTAGTTTTGTAACAGAGTGCTGCATTCAGTCAGTCAGTCAGATGCAACGTAGAACTTCGCACGTAAGTACATCAGTTCATGTTGCCATACCACATCAGCACACAGATGTAATTGTCAATTCAAATACAATAGTAGTAGAGGTAGTAAAGGTATTAGAAGTAATCGGAGAGGTTAGGATTAGAAGATATTATTCAAGAAGTATGATTCAATGAGATAAGTTTAGAAAGTCAAAACTAGAGGTGTTAAACAATCCAGAAGATTAGGATTTGAGAGAACACAAAGAATAAATGCACCGGCGCCATTGCGAACGATTTTGAGCCATGTCATCCAAGGTCTCTAACCATCGATTATTATCATCTCGCGGACTCCAACCAGGTAGTCGACAAATACCAACACGACTCAGTTCACTCGTCAATGACTTCATGGATTTCTGCTATGTTTTGGTTTGGCCGCCCCTAACTTTCTTCCAACCTATTCCTACACTATGAAACAAAGCTCGACGAGGCAGTCGGTGGTTAGGCATACGCAACACATATCCCAACCACCTCAACTAATGAAGTTTCACCACTTGATCTATAGATCTGCCATTCTTACCTAGCACCCGATTACTAATAACAGCGTTGCTCACTCAGGTGTCCTAGGATATACGAGCAATGCTTCGAAGACACCTATGATCGAAAACCAGTAAACTACGAATATCTTCTACTCTCACTGGCCATGTTTCACAGCCATAAAGTAAGACGGAGCAAACTACTGCGCAGTACACTCGTCCTTTAGTCAGCAAATGGATATCTCGCCTACGCCATAAGTGACGCAGGTTGGCAATATCTTCTACTCGTACGTTACTGTTTTTCGATCATACGTGTCTTCGAAGCATTGCTCGTATATCCTGGGACACCGGAGTGAATGAGTGCTGCATTCATTCATCTTATGCTTTGTATGTGAGTAACATATGTATGTACCTATGTAACGTAGCAATGAGGCCTATTTCCAAATCCATGGAAAAACCGAAAGATATAGCAATCCATTAGAAGTGACTGAGTCTTTAACTTGTGACACCTTACATGCATTTGAGTTTGTTTTAATGTTCAATTAAGGATTAAACCTTTTTGTTTAACTTATTGAACAATTGACGTCCTTTGAACAGCAACAACTTGTCTACTATACACACAATAGTACTTTTAATAAATTGTTGCGCTTGTATGAACATGTATGCTTGAGGATTATTTAGACAGTCTAAGCATAGATTCATTCTTAATGTTATTCATTTAAACAGTTTAATGACTCTTTCATTTGAGATGGTGGAGGAAATTTGTAGCTCGTGTGGATGATTGTGGTAGTGTTTCATTCTCTCTGAGCTGAATGTTTTGGTTGTGGAGCTTTCATTCATCTTTTGTATTGAACACTACATCATCATCAGCACAAACTTCACGGTAGAAGTTAAGTATTCAAATTTTTCTACGTATGACTTATTCTCCGATCGACCTGCCTGGCATGGTAGAACCTTCAGGAACATATGTTCCGGACATTATATAGCTGGGTTGGGTCATCACGATAGGCAAGCCCGACCACCACGTCAAGGTCGCAGCTACGGTCATGACGTATGACTTGTAGCTTGTTCTGGTAACCCCGATCTTGATAAAATAGTAATGAACCTTAAATCTGTCGTTGTTTGCACTTTTACTTCGATTGTATCCCCCCCATTTGATCTCTTTCTTGATCCGATGTTTGCCTGTGATATTTTCTGATTGGTTGATAAATTGGGTCAACGACGACGTGTTTGTTAATTGGTTGATTTAACTAAGTGCCAAGCTTCTAAAAAGTCTCTAGTGTTCTTTGTGCTCCCCCCCTATCCAGTATTTCCACATTGTTCCAATCAAATGTATATCCATAGTTGTCTGCATGTATTAATATAAGGGAAGAATCGTCATAGCGTTTAACTGCTAATCGATGTTCACGCAGATGAAACTGACGAGGACGTCTACTTTGTCTTATGTAGTGTTGTTCACGGGAAAACTACACTTATCCCTTTTCCTATGTATACACATATGTACATTTCGCTCCTCAGCATTTACATATTATTCTGCTTTCGCTTTGTATACCTATGGTTTTGTGATCGGTGTTTTGTGCGATAATAAAAGTCACCAACGTTTCGTATTTCATCTTCTGAATTGTATACAACGTTAGGCATTATCTATAAAGGGTTATCAGAACAAACAGTATACAAAGTTTAGGAATATCCACCGAAAATCCACTGCCACGACCTAATAATAATCAATACTTTTCATCATCGGATTAATCGTTAGTGGGTTAACTTAAGTTGCATAAGTCTGAAACAACTTCGCTGTTATTACAACAGAAAGAAATTAACTGAATCTTTTTCCAATCATTTCTAATTTTGACGGGTTTTTTTTATACGAAAGTATGCTTACTTTATTTTTTACATGTCATTAGCTTGTTTTTACTAGCTGAAAATAAGAGTACTGAGTCATGTTTGGTAAAACTGAATTGACAGCATAACCTGCCTCCATGTTACACCCTTTTTATTAGTCTGTCTGAATGTTTGAAATAAATCTATCCAACTCAAGTAAGTATACAAATAGAAGCATAACTTCCTATGAAGTACCTAAAACCATACGATAATATTCGACCTTATTAATTGAGAGGTTTATGACAGTGTCTGACAATTTATATTATAGTTCAAATAGTAATAGACGTATAAGTTAATGCATATTTATACAATGGTATCTATATGTTGATTATGCCTTATTGATTAGGTTTTTATCAGTAAAAATGAATGTACGGAAGAAAACTTCCTTGTCCTAAGTAATCATCATGACCGACCGTAGCTGCTACCTTGACATCGTGATCGGGCTTGCCTATCGTGATGACCGAACCGAGCTATATTGGCTGGAACTTATGTTCCTTTAGATCCTACCATGCCAGACAGGTCGATTGGAGAACGATGATACCAAAAGTAGCTACTCAAGGTCTGAGGGCGAAGTCGTACTGCTGACTATAGAGAGGGGTGTGACAGCGGTAAGATGCTTCTCTCGGACAATCAGCATCTGCAGCGATGCTGCCTTGTCACAAGAAAGGAAGGGGTTAGAAAAGGTCGACTCTAAAAGTGTCACACCTCACCTTAACTCACGAATTACCATCTCAGGCGGTAACGCCTTTTATACAAGAGCGGAACTAACACTTTAAAAACTTCACATAAAAAAGCCATGCGTGACCGGCCTTAAGCATTTGTCTCTTGGACTCTGCGGTCACGCTGCCAGGTCTCTAAGACTAACGCTAATCTACCTTCTTCTTCAGGTTCCTCAAGAAACAACCTTCCACGGTGTGGGCAGCCAGGAAGTGAAATCCAACATCATACCCGTAACAGCTATCTTAACAAAATAAATATCAATGACAGATTATATTGTCATGAACGAAAGTGTTCAGACTACATGGAATAGTGAGTTATTTTAGGAGAAGATACAGTTTTATGAACAAAATAAGTACATCTAATCTCCAGAGTTCGATTAGTAAAACAATTAAAAGATTACTGACTGCCTTTTTTATCTTTGAAAATACTTTGTTCGCATCATGCGTTCCAGTCAGACACTCTTCTCTCCAGGAGTACTAACTTGTGGCTGACACTCCACTGCATACTACTTAAAACTCATGTTGTGCGTAGTGTCCACCACAATATGACAGGTTAATTTAAACACTGTTTAATTTGCTGTTACGAGTATGAGGGCGGTTGTCACTTCTCGGCTGCCCACACCGTCGAAGGTTGTTTCTTGAGGAACCTGAAAAGGAACATAGATTAGTGTTGGTCTTAGAGACTTGGGTGCGTGACCGGAGAACCCAAAGGAAAACCGCTTGAGGCCGGTCACGCACGGCCATTTTATCAAAGGTTTTTGAGTATTAGCTCCGCTCTTAAAAACCCTTAGTGGGCACCCTTACCGCCGAAACGGAAATCCGTGAGGTAGGGTGAAGTGTGACATTTTTAGGGTCGACCTTTTCTAATCCTTCCTTCCTTGTGAGAAGGCAGCATCACTGCTGGTTGTCCGAGGGAAACACCTTACTGCTGTCACACCCCTCCATAGTCATTCGGCAGTACGACTTTGCCCTCAGACCTTGAGTAGCTGCTTTTAGTCTCATCGCTCTCCAATCGACCTGTTTGGCATGGTAGAACCTTCAGAAATATATGTTCCAGCTAATATAGCTCGGTTGGGTCATCACGATAGGCATGCCCGACCACCAAGTCAAGGTAGCAGCTTTAGTCGGACTAATTAAATAATTTGTTAAAATGAGAATAAATAAATAAAATCTAAAATTAATAGTATTATTATAGACTCCGCCTGGAACCCTTCTGGAGTTAATGCCAGAGCCCCACACCGGGATAAACAAGAAGACGAGTTGGGTAACGGGTTAGCGACCGATAACAAATAATTCGAACCATTTAAACTATGCCATGGAAATTGAAAGGTATTCATTTAGTAGAGAGTTATGACATCTCTCATGATAAAAATCGAGTTTCTTCGGAATTCACGAGCTCGATGCCCCTTCTCAAAACCAGACCAACCAATAACATGTAATGTTCATAGATTGTAGAATGTCAGGAAATGGAATGTTCAACGCCAAATGAAAAGAGGCAAACGAAAGAACCATATTACGCCGAAAAATTAGAAACAGACATGAAAACAATGAATAGCAGCAATTCGAAAAAACTGGAAAGCAAGGCCCAGCATAGAGTAGTTTGGAGAATGCTGATCAGGTAGC